GTTAAATGAGCTATTCAGAATTTTAATTGAATTTTTCAGGTTTTTCCAGATTTTTCTGACAGGTAGTAAACATATAGGCCTAAGGCCTTTACGTCAGTTAAAGTATTTTATTTTTCAGCCTATTTGGTATTGTCACATAAAAACTATAAGACTAAGTTTGAAAAACTCAACAGTCGACAGTCGACACAAAAATAGGAATTGTTGATTAAATCATTAGAAATGTAATCCTTTAGAATCAAGTTGATATTTTGAGCGTTTATATCAATATTCGATGAAACAAAAAAATTTGAAACTTTCATTGTATTATTCGATAAGCAATTGTTGAATATTCGTTTCGTTAGGAAGATGCAAAATTGTTATTATATTTCTTATTTCATTTGGAACTACACCTATGTTGTTTGAATTTTATACGAGGGGATATTCATTGAGGTTATTAGTTAATGTTTTATGCCTATGAAATATAATGATAATGTTTTCTTACAATATCCGTAAAATGTGTATACACGTAAACATATTGTAATAAAACATTATCATTAGGTTTTATGATATACTGCTTATAGACCGTGTTCAGAGCATGGGCCACAAACACATTTTATGTAGGGCAATTATTATAATTTAACTATTTTAAAATGAATGTACGGTCTCAAAGTGCATTGTTTCAAGTTTTTTTCATATCAAATGAATACAAAAAAAATAGTTTCTTGATAGTGACAATCGTTCCAAAATATTGATTGTAAGCTCATCGAATCTGAAGACAGAAGAGCCGTGTGTTGATGGATTACTCCGCGGTGAGGGCCCTCATGTTGAGCTAATATAACCGGGATCGAAGGCAGCTTAGAAAAGAAAATACACTTCGGTGTATGCCCATTAAAGACGCTGTAAATACCACTTAAATCGCCGTTTGCCTAACTGAATAAGTAAGCACACATAATTATGAACGTTAACTAATCGCTTACTTAAAGCAATAATCACAATTTGGTAAATATTTAGCAACGGTTTCAAGGAGAAACTAACGAAAATTAAATCTTCATTGACGAGTTTGATAAGGCGATTGGTACTTACAACACGAGGATAGCGAATGCTAAAGTAAAACAAAAACATAGGCATTTACTATTCATACAGATTATATTATAGGCTATAACAAACGACCACTGCGTTGTGTCGTATTGTTGGTTGAATTAAAGGGAATTCTATACCTATCCATGGTTGATACGGCGTACCGCATGTTTTGCGTTAGTTGAACCATTGAACACTGCTTGTATGTTTTAATAACAGTGTCAATATTACCATTTTTATATTTTACTATTTTTATTGTTATTGTCTTTATTAATTAACATCCGCGTCCTCCTCCTCATCACCAATTAGAGTTTTTTTTTGTAAGCAGTCAAAATCAATCGATATTATTTTATCCAGGCTGTTCCATTGCAATTCTATTCCTACTGGGAAACTGAAGAATTAGAGTGTGGTTGCGTGCAATTATTAGTTACTATTTTCCAATTCATTAATATTAATACAAATGATGATGATGATGTCATTTACCTATACCTAAATTTATAACCCGTTAATCCACGGAATATCATGCGTCTGACATTAATTATCGATGTTAATATGTCCTCATTCTATTTAAAAAAAAATTAAATCTAATACGTATTTAAATATACAAAAAAGCAATTCAGATATTTCGTTTCGCTTTCGTTAGATCAACACAGATATACCTTTAATAGAAGACAATCTTTATTATAAGAACTACCGATACGTAATTGTATCAAGAGGGGGAACAACATATAGGCCTAAACATATTAAAACAATGAAACGAATCCACTGAAAGTTTATAGTCACTGAACAACAGTCACACATGAGAACAAATAATTAGTTAATCTTTACGAAGAATCTTACGGGGGAAAAAAACACATGAGATTAATAAGAAGGTCAGGAAAATAAAATTCAATCATTCCTTAATTCTGATTGGATCTGGTATTTTTTCCATAGTACCAATTAACTTTCAATATACACAAAACAGAACAAGTCAGGGAACAAAGTATTCGAAGTACGTCCGCGCAAAGTGGGAGAGAAAAGAGAAACAAAACAATAATATTCAACAAAAACCGATCGTTAGTACTATTTGTTGAGAATTATTACTTGTACTTTATGGTTCTGATTTGTATTCAAACGAAGAAGAGCACTTCATAAACGCACGTGAACCGTTCTTTATTCCACAAATTAACAATCTATTCAAAAAGTGTCATGTATATTTGCTTTGAAATTAAAACTATTATATATCTTTTGGATAATGCGGTTTCAGACCTCGGGAAGAGTGTGTTTCTGGTAGCAGCGATCCGAGCGACAGAACCAGCAACTGACACGAGTTGCGCAGCCTTTCAACGCGTTTAATAACTTTCAGTCGCGTGTTCAGTACAGCTTAGCCAACTAGGAGCCAAATTTATAATTTTATTTACAATTAGATCGAGAGAAACATCATACTTGATAACGCTAAAAGACTCATAAATTGAATCAACCTCTTATATTTATCATCTAGGATATTATATTGGAAAGGTTTCGGAATTTGCATGACATATTGGTATAGATTGCAGGCCTACGTGTATAATGCTTATTCCTTACTACTTTTCTTTATTACGTGGATAAAACACTACCAATAATCACAAGCAGTATCATAAATAATACTGGGCGTAGGCATACATTCCTATGCAACCACCGGCGTCACAACCAAATACATACGTATCAATGATGAAAAGTAAATTGAGTAGGAACATAGGAAAATTGGATATCAAAAAGATGATCAAACAAGGTATAAGATTTGCCAACTTTAATTTGAGTTTCACAAAAATATGTGTGAAATTACGTATTAAATATTAGCAGCATCGGAGACATTGTAATAGCATTTAAAACCCAAGAAATAACGTTGCCTATGTTGTCGTAAAACATTTTTATGATATATAACACAAACGTTTTCGGGCATTGTACACCTTTAAAATTACGCCAAC